GATGTGGTTACTCTGGAGTTGAGCCAAAGTCCCCAGGCTATTGCAAACGTATTGGCTATTTGAGAGTCCCAAGTTGAGCCAAAGTTCCCAGGCTATTTGGAGTTGAGCCAAAGTTCCCAGGCTATTGCAAACGTATTGGCTATTTGAGAGTCCCAAGTTCTTATTTGATATTTGACTCTCAAATACATTTATTGGAATGATTTTTCTTTAAAAAAAAAATCAAATGATGAAAACTTTCAATATTAAATGCCAAACGTCATGCTTGTCAGTGCATTAACCATCAACAAATAAAAATTTTATAAACAGTAGGATGGATCAAGTGGTGAAGAAGTGAAGATTGAGATAATCGAATAATTACTGGTAAACTTGAGGCGATTTACATGCATGCAAGAGAATCGAAATCCAGCAAGAAATTTGTTGTATTATTCACCTTGTGGGAATGCATATGCAATTGTTTTAGAAATTTGTCTTGTCCAAATATTCTATTTATGGGAACAAAAAAGCTAATTTTTGGACTTTGATTTACAAATAGAAAGGGCAAATATGTAAAGTTGTGTTCTCATAAAATCCTTTCTCTCCATATCTCTCCAACTCTCAAATAAGAGAAAGAGATTTCTTTTCTTTTCTTTCATTAAACTCCCAAACGAAATATGCATCTTTTCCCTTCTCTTCCTTTCTTTCCTAAGCTATCTTTTCTTTTCTTTTCTCTTCCTTCATAAACTCCCAAACTAAGCCTAAGTCTCATCAAGGGATTGAAGGGATCAAAAACAGCCCAGATCAAAAGATAGAGATAGAAATTGGTTGGAGCCTTCCCAAGCAAAGGATAGGAAACATGTGGCTTCCGTGGTTCAATGGCGTTTTTGGACCGTTAATTAAAATTCTACACACGATTATCAAAAAAAAAAAAAAAAATTCTACACACTTGTGCTTGACTGACAACCTCCACAGTAGGCATGGCCACGGTTCCAGAACCAACGGTTCTGGTTCCAGAACCAACGGTTCTGGTTCCAGAACCGCCGGTTCTGGTTCTTCAAAGAGGTAGAACCAGAACCGCACCATATAAGATGGTTCTGGTTCTGGTTCCAGAACCGGCGGTTCTGGTTCTTCAAAAAGGTAGAACCAGAACCGCATAGTTCTGATTTCGATTCCTTATGGTTCTGGTTCTGGTTCTGGTTCCGGTTCCGGTTCCGTATGGTTATATACAATTTTATTTAATTTCTTATCCTTACCAAATTTAATACGAATATAACAATATATTTAAAATTTTAAATAAAATGTAAAAAATAAATACAAAATAAATATCATATTTTAATTTTATTATTATTCTACAAAGTACGAAATAATAAATAGATAATAGATGAAGAAATTGAGAGTAGTTTAGAGATGGAAGAGAGAAGATTGATTTTGGTGTAGTAGAAAATAAAATTTCAAGTCTTATTTATAGGACAAAATGAAATTAAAAATTTGGAACGTTGTATTGTAACGTTCCAAATTTGTAACGTTGTATTGAAAATTTGGACAAAATTACAACGTTGAATTGTAACGTTGTAAACTTGTAATTCACCCTAACCCCCAATTTGTCAAATTTAGCAGGCAGCCACCTTTCTTGTTTTTTTTCTATCCTTTGCTTTGTTTCTTTCTTCCGTTGAGAGCCTGAGGACCTTTGTGCAAGTCAGGAGGAGCCCCCGAGAGCAAAAATTGAGAGCAAAAATTGTGGTGGCATCATGATGACCTTGGTCATCATGATGCCTCTACTTTTATTATTTTTTATATTAATTATTTTTAAATTTTTTAACGGTTCTGGAACCGGCGGTTCTGGTTCTGGTTCTATTTTTTAGAGAACCAGAACCGGAACCTTTATCCAAGGTTCTACTACGGTTCTGGTTCCACGGTTCTGGTTCCGGTTCTGGTCCGGTTCCAAACGGTTCGGTTCCGGTCCGGTTCCCGGTTCCAAGTGGAACCATGGCCATGCCTACTCCACAGGCGAGGAGCCGGATCCCTTTTCTTGACTACACAATAAAAAAAACAAGTAGGAGTAGTTGAAATAGAGGCAGTGCGGACCGTAAAGAAAGCATACGAGAAGGTAGAGCCATTCGACCCAATGGAACTTCCCTTCACCTTCATTTCTCTCTTTCTTTTCCTAGCCTTTATTTTAAGTCTCATCAAGGGATTGAGGAGATTAAAAACAACCCAGAAACTACCACCATCTCCATGGAAGCTACCTTTGATTGGACATATGCATCATCTGGTAGGTTCCCCATCGCATCAAGGTCTCAGGGACTTAGCTCGGAAGCATGGAGCTTTGATGCACCTTCAGATGGGTGAAATTCCTTCAATTGTTGTATCATCTCCACGTTTAGCCGAGGAGATTATGAAAACACACGATCTTTCCTTTGCCGATCGGGCGGAGTTTCTTTCAGGTGAAATCATAAGCTATAACTTTACTGATATTGCCAGCTGCCAATATGGTGATTACTGGAGACAAATGCGTAAGATATGCACCCTGGAACTTCTAAGTGTTAAGCGTGTCCGATCATATGGCTCCATCCGGCAAGAAGAGGCTTCTGTTCTTGTTACATCGATTAAGGCTCTGGCTAATGCTGGAGAGCTAATCAATGTGACGGAAAAACTAACCTCATATACAAGTTCCACTGTTTGCAGAGCAGCATTTGGGAGAGTAAGCAAAGATAATTACTTGGCATATTTGCCATTAGTCAGGGAAATAAATAGCCTTTGTGGTTCTTTCAACATTTCTGACCAGTTTCCATCCCTCAAGATTCTTCATCCGCTCATGTCACTGAAGGCTAAGCTGTTGGATGTCCACCACAAGGCAGACAGAGTTTTGGACCATGTAATTGAGAAGCATATGGCAAAGACAGAGCCAGCCATAGGTGAATCTGACCAAGAAGATCTAGTTGATGTTCTTCTAAGAGTTAAAGAAAGTGGTAACCTTCAGTTCCCAATTACCAACGATAACATCAAAGCTGTTATCATGGTAAGATTTTTTCCCTTCTTCACTTCTGGTACTCTTTCAGGTTCATTTATTTTATCAAACACGCTGACTTTAAAGATGAAGAACCAAGTATTTAGACTCTAATGTTAGTGAAAGCGTGGAGGAAGTAAATCAATCAACGCCCTTCGAGTTCTAAGTTTTAGCTTCATGATTAACTTGCCTGTTTTATTTGTAACAAAGAATTTTGGCATTGATGCAGGATATTTTTTCAGGGGGAACTGAAACTTCATCTACAACGGTGGAATGGGCGATGTCCGAGCTGATGAGAAATCCAAGAGCGATGGTCAAGGCACAAAGTGAAGTACGGAATGCCTTCGTAGGAAAGAAAACAATTGAAGAAACTGATATTCAAGAATTGAAATACCTGAAGTCAGTGATAAAAGAAACTTTGAGGCTACACCCTCCCGTCCCTCTGTTGGTTCCCAGAAAATGCAGGCAAGTAACTGAGATTGATGGGTATATCATTCCCATCAAGACAAGAGTTATAGTTAATGCCTGGGCAATCGGAAGAGACCCCGAGTATTGGGATGATCCAGAAAGTTTCAAACCAGAGAGATTCGAGAACAGTTCCGTTGATTTCAGTGGATGTCACTTTCAATATGTTCCATTTGGTGCTGGAAGGAGGATTTGCCCAGGAATTTCATTTGGTTTAGCAAATGTTGAGCTTCCTTTAGCTCTTCTGCTCTACCATTTCGACTGGAAACTCCCAAATGGTCTCAAACCCAGTGATTTAGACATGACGGAGACTATGGGAATAACCGCACCAAGAAAAGAAAATCTTCGCTTGCTTGCCACTGTGTACGATGCATCACTTTGACGTTAGCGCAGAAACATGGAGATGAGTACTTGTGGTGAATATGTGAGAAGTGGCTTCCTAGTCTCTTGCTATATTCACTCTGCTTTATGTTAATTTCCTTTTAAGATATAACACTTTGCACTAGTGTTTTAATACCATAAAAAAGGAAGCATTTCATTTGACGCTTTAATATGATGGATTTAATTTCGGTTTTACAAATTCGATTGGATAGCTTTGGAAATGTTGCTTCTAGCATGAAAAAGTCTTGGATTTCAGGATAATAGCTTTTGGTGAAATATTTTCTATGTGAAGTGGTGGAAGTGAGCGGAAAGTCTACCAGGCAGGGGCTAATTTTTTAGATTATAGATAAAAAAAATAAAACATTCGTCAAATGCATTTCTGATACGGGTGTTTCTCAATTTATAGTCGACGGCTGCATGGAAGAATTTTTTTTTTCTTTTTGAAAAAGCTTGAAAAAGTCAGAATCGACGTGACTTTTTATTGTCTGTCGGGAGCCGTGCCCAATAAAAAATAAAGCGTCAAGCGCCTGACACAAAGGCCGACAAGGCCATGTGAAGTTTGAGCCGGATGAGCAGGGGCAGGGGGTCATATTCTTGTGCACTATTTCATGAAAATAAATAACAATAACAACACAAAAGAATTTCATTTCAAGCCAACAGAAAACAGGCATCATATATTAGTTTCACTTCTCAATTTTCAACATTACTTCCAGATGCATATTAATTATTACTAAAATTATCAGCAAAAGAGGCTCCTTTTGCCTTCTCAATTACAAAATTTCAAGAAAATATTATAGTAAAGAAAAAGCCAGAACCACTGTGAACTAACTGTCAAGTAATTTTCTGCCAGTATTCTTCCCAAGAACCATTTATGTGTTAATTCTGTGAATCCTTGCTTGTTCTTTATATCAATTGATTGATTTCTGTTTCCTACTTGAGTTACTTGTAATGGGCATTTTCTAGCATCTTCTTCTTGGTATTAACTGATTTTTCGATGCCTTGTTGAAATACTCCTGCTTAAATTCACATGGCTAGAGGAAAAAAGAAAGAGAAAGAAGCAGCCAAAGAAGAAATAAGAAGGAAAGAAGGAAGAAGAATGGGAAGAAAAAGCCAATAATGTTTATTATTTTTTTATTTTTGAAGAATTAACTGAACACCAAAAAGATAAAGAATTATGAATATTTATCCGCTTTTCATTAAATACACCAATATGTGCAGAATAACCCAATAAACAGAGCCCATAAATTAAAAAGAATATATAGACACACAAATTCACAAGAACACGCACACTTAGGCACAACCCACATGGGAAAACTGGGGTTTAAGAGATTCTTACTTCTTTTTCTCAATTTTATGCAAAACAAGAAATGCTGCTCCAAAAGCTCCTCTGCCAGTCTGCTCCATTACTTCATATTCTTCCAACCGGGATTGGCCATCTCCATTTTCTGTCTCCATTAGGCCTCTTTCTCTATTTAAAGAGGAAAAACAAAAAATCAAAAGGGTCAGTCCAAATCCAGCCAAGGATACAAACCTGGGCTGATTGAAGCAGTTTCTGCACTTACCCTGCTTTAACCGAGGAAAAAAAATTATGGGCTCACAGCTAAATCCTTAGAAGCAACGAACAAACGAAGAATCTTGGGTTTTGCACAGCTGCAATCAAGCAAACCATGCCTTCGATAGACAATTTCAGGCATAGAAATAAAGTCTGCAGAAAGGCCACATTGTACAATTATGTCAGTCTGAGCCGTGCTAACTATGCACGGCTCGAACTGACGCAAAAGCTTGGCTGCAGGCTCGTGTCAGTCGGAGCCGTGCTGATTGTGCGCGGCTCTAACTGACACCTGACATTTTTTGACTTGTGTGAAATTTAATTTTGGAGCCGTGCTTATAGAATAAGAACAAGTCCGTGTCAGAGATGTATTTGCGGATGTTTTATTTTTTTACCTATAATCTAAGCAATTAGCCACAAGGTAGGTAAAAGGGTGTCGGGAATATGAAAATTTCGGAGTGGAATTGCATTAAGGGTAAAAAATCTTGATCGGATCATATTTTTACCATCAAACTATTTTTCATCAGTAATTGATCCCTAAACAACATGATCAGTAAATTAGTGATCATTTGATCGATAATTACTCTTAATTTGTGAAATTAGTAATTAATCTGTAAAATAGAATCGCGTAGTTGTTAGATAAAATTATTTCTGTGCTTTGTCACGTGTACTGTTAATTTCATAGATTAAGATCAATTATCAACTAAATGGTCATGAATTTACTGATTAAATTATTTAGTGGTCAATTATTGACAAAAAATAGTTGGATAGTCAAAACATCATCTGATCAATAATTTAGTGGCCACTGAGATTTTTTGCATTTATAGTAATGCTTTTCTATTTTCATGTCAATGGACAAACACGTGACTTGTCTCGTACAAATGTTGAACGGTTGAGGTTGAGAAGCGTCAGTGACTTGATTTCAAGTAGGGGTGGGCAAAAAAACCCGTTGATCTGAAAACCCGATGAACCCGATCCGATCTGATCCGAAAAATAGGATATCCGATCCGATTTTTCTTAGCGGGGCAGATTAGGGTCGGGTACCTGCAAAAATCGGGTACGAATACGAATCAGAAAAATAAAAACCCGCGGGTACCCGACCCGCTGGGTATATTTTATAAATATTAAAAAATTAGGGATCATTTGATAACTTTGTAATTTTTAATTCTAAGTGCAAGTGAAGTGGCTCACAGCCTCATATTCTAATCCTATATGATCCACCTCTCCTCATCCTTGTTTGAAGAAAGCGAATATTCTTGGTAAAACATGAGCCAAATGAACAAAATGAAAAAAAATTTGTGAAACTCTGTTATAAAAATTGTTCATCCCTTTCATCCTTTGTATTTTTATTCTACCTCCATCGATCTTTCCTGCAAATTTTGCATCAATTCAATCAAAGATTTGTGTTTGGAGTTTCAATTTTCTGTTAGCTAGATAATTAAAACATTTGTGTCTTTCACTTATTTATTTATTTGATTTATTTTATTGCAATTATGTCTCTTAAATTTGTCTCTTTTATTTAGTGTAAGAAATTATGTTTCTTTTTCATCACCTTTAATGCCATAATCTCTATTCCAAAGATGTAAAGAAGTTGGGGAGGATTTTTTAAGTTTGTTTTTAGTTATATTTTTTCCAAAAATAATTAGTTCTATTCAATTCTTTTCCGAACTTGATTTCACAATTGACTTATTTGGGATGTAGTTTTGTACCATAACATCCTTAAGGAAGTTGGGGAAGTTGTTAAATACTTATGATCCTTGTGCTTGTTATGTTGTAGAAGGATGAAATGTGTGAAAATGGTGATGTACTCAAAATTATTATGAAACTTCGTTTTGTCCATTAGATATTATAATTCTAATATGTACTAAATTTATGAGATCGATTTGATTGATGGATAAACTGTGTGAGAATGGTGATGTATGGACTTTAGTTACAATATCTCTACCAATATTAATTGAAAAATCGTGTTTTTTTAATTGAAAAACATGTTGATATTAAGTGAAAAATAATTTTTTTTTATTGAAAACTAGTTTTTTTTTTAGAGGCGGGTCAGGAGCGAGTACCCTATGACCCGCCCCTTTTTTTCGGATATCCGAATAGCGGGTACTCGAAGATATTAGGAGCAGGTTAGGGTCGCAAAATGACTGATCCAATATATTAAGATCGGGTTAGTCAAATCATATTAGGGACGGGTACCCGACTCGTGCCCACCCCTAATTTCAAGTTATGTACGGTCATAATGCTACTTTCCTTCTAACGTGTTACCATCATCTTACATATATATAAAAAGCTAAGGCTTCTTCTCCCACGTTGATCCACGTGGCAAAACATGGGAGAGAAGGAACTATTGTGTTTTTGTTTTTCCGGCAATAACCTCATAAAGTGTACCCTGATCTAAACAGTTATAACTATTATAGGGCATTTTTGTCCTTTTACTTAAAATTACGAGTTTGCCCTTCTAAACATAATAGGCTTCCAGAACAGTAGCTCACTATTTGGGCTGAATTTTGGTTTTTCACCTGCACTTTTTCTCCTGTTCATCCGCGTCTTTCCCTTCTTCCTCTACACTATCACTTTCTGCTTCTTTTGACTTTTAGTTTTAGCCTTCCATCTTTCTGCTTCATTCCTGTTTCTTTCCCGTCTATTTCTTTTTCCTCTCATCAGACGAAAGGAAGAAGCTGCAATTCAACTGCTTTAGCAGATGGTGTCTTCTCCTTTATTCAATGTCAAATAAACTCTTTTTTTTTTTGTAATTTCTTGCTCAGAATTTGCTTACCCACAGGATAATTCTACTTGGAAGGAGGAAAATGGGGAACTTTTGGTTAGATTAGGTTGTACTTCTTGGCCAAAAAATCAACAAAAATTTCCCCAAATGATGCGTGGCCTTCGGATTCATCTTATAGATAATTCTTACACGAGGGGATTTTGGGGAAAATTATCCCCCAACTACAGCCGACTTTGTAGCCATGGGGATGCTTTTCTTCTTTGCTTGACTTTTATAGATAAACTAGTTTTGTACCCATTCGTTGAACGGGAATCGTCAAAAAATAAATAAATATTTAGTTAATTTTATAAAAATATCGATATAAAATACAAATTTAATGTATAATCTATTATAACTTGTCTTAAGTATATTACTATGTGCGCATTGTAATATAAAGTATTCTTATAATATAAATTTAAACATCTAATTCAGTGAATAATGATTCAAAAATGAAAAAAATTACATTGAACAATACCATAACGTTCAAAAACTTGAAAATAAATAAAAAAGTGCAGTAAATAGTATTAAATAATATTCTATTCTTCAGGAACTTGTTTTGAATTTTCTTCTGTTTGAACATTTCCTCGATTTGTCCATGCAAATCAGCATTTATTGGTTTTTCATTATCACTGCATGATAGGAAAACAGGATAACTAAGTATAAAAAAATAAATGATTTATCGCATTCAAGGTTATGTATAACAATACGTAAAGATTATAATTTAAGAAAGTAAAATAGTATATTAAATCTACCTTCTCATGCAAATCTTTTTATGAGGATTCCCTTCTTCTGTGATTTTTGTTGAACCCTCTGATGAATGATTCATATGAAGTGTATTGAAATGCTGTTGATTAGAATCATCCGGTGTACTAATTGGGATCTGGGAAGAAGATGCTTCATGTTGGTATTGAGTGTTGGTTCCACCAATCTGATAATGATTTATCAAAATTAAAGGCAAAATATTATGTGAGATATAATATGTGAAATATAAGAGAAATTTATTGCACATTACCTGTGAAAGCATGAAATTCGTTTCCCTCTCGAAATCACAGTGGAACCATCTAGTCACTGTAAATCTATTACTACCTTGTTACAGATTGTAATTGTTCAACTTGATTTGGAACACAAAAGGTTTCCATGTGATCTTATTTATAATTGATGACACGATTTCATTGCTAAATCCTTCCTGAAAATTAAATGCATAATAGATTTTTTTTTTTAGAATATTCAACGGCTAAGATAAGTGTCGGATTGTCTACTATTATTAAAAACTTCTCAAAAATTAGATATAAGTTTACCTTATTAAATTCTTCAAGAACAAAAGAAAGTTTGTGTTCTATTATTCTTTCAGCCTCTTGATCAAATATAACAAACCAAGCACTACCGGTTGCATCACTTGCCAAGACTTTTAACATATACCTGTATAAATACACATATTCTAAAAGTTATATTTATGTAGATATTGTAGCAATTAAAATGATAAAAAGATTAACACCTACGACATACCTCAATTTAGGATACTCCACATTTTGATTGCAAGCATTGCACACAAAATTAGATCCTTGTAATGTCACTTTTCTCTGACATTTCGGACATGCTTTGTAGTACAGTTGACTATTGAAATCAACTTTCAGAATTGTCACTTTGGAAGTGTAAACCAATTCCTAGAGAAATGAAAAGATCTAAGCAGTCAATTTAAATAATAAATATTTTTAATTGTGAAAACTAATGTGCTATAATTGTAACTTGTAACTTTAATTGTACCTCTGTTTGAACACCGGCCATTATCTGATATATCTCTGATAATAATTTTCGATTCTTGAACATTAGTTGCTGTATAGCTTCTCGCGTCTTTGGAGGATGTAAAACCTCAATAGTTTGAGTAGCAGTGCTATCAATGCTAATAACAATTTTATCTTAATTACTTATATACAATATATATGAAAATATTAAACAAACATTTAATAAAGATATAGCTTTACCAATTCAAATAATCTGCAACTTCAGAAATATTTAGATTCATATATACTCGTGTGGCAGTTGTTGATGACAGATAGTAAGAGCCTGAGTAACAATTTATCGTGAGGTCCATTAAGAATGCTAATGAAAAGAAATAACAATATGTTTACTATGAGAGTTTCACTGATGTTTATATCATTACCTCTGAATTGTTTAACTGTCACTGAAGAGATCACAAACACTAATGGTTGATCAGACACCAAAATAGTCTCATCATCGAATTGATTCGATGTTGTTCCCCATAATGTGACATTAATGCTTTCACCACTTCAATATAAAGCACTCAAAATTAATACTTGAATAGAAATTACTCAAAAATAATTGTTCAAATAAGAATATGAGCTGATCTTCATATTATAACTAATTTATTTAGCAGACTAAATTAAAAAAAAAAGCAGCAAGTACCTTTTATTAGTAATTGCAATATCTCGTTTTTTTACAGTTCCATTACTCTTCGAAACTTCATAAATTGGTCCCACTTTAGAAAGTCTTCCCACCACATCTATATTACACACAAATAAATAAGTATAACACATATAGTTATCTAGGAATCACTACTTTCAAATAAATAAAACTAAAAGTAGTATTTATAAAAGTAGTATTTACCCTATTAACTTATTACGTCATACCTGATAAGAATGTAAAAACTTGACATCGTGAAGAGAGGTCATTGAAGTCGATGAATTCAAATTTGTGAAATTTTATTGAACTCATTCGACCATCAAGCTTTTTCACCAGAGTTGTATAAGTGAAATAAATATTATGCTCATTGTGCACAACATTCCAAGATTGTTTTCTTGGTGTCACTCTAAATTTCTCCAAAATATAGACATCTCCCTCAAGTAGTTGTGGTCGAAACCTTTGTACCAAATTTTTTGGTACAATAGCTACCATATGATTATCCTAAAACAATTCAGACATCATAGATTAGGAAAAAATTGTCATGAAATAAACAAATTTAACTGAAATCAGTCATAGATGGATGAATGATGGTACTTACATTTTCATCCAGCAGTACCATTTCAAGAGCAAACACATCACCAGTATTTGTGTTAATGGCATCCCACATGCGCGTCACTCTAACCTTGATTTTCTTGGAATCAAATCCCACAGTCAACTGATTCAAGAGCTTGTGGCTTGAATTCATTGTAACGAACTTGTGTCTGCTACCAAAATTCACCAACTTATAAAATAATTGCATATATGTATCTAAACTAAATACTTCAATATATGATTAATAAGCGCATAAATAAAAACAAACAAAATTGCATACGCATGAATTATAAATCAAGCTTTAGAATTTAACCTATACCAATGTGTAAATTATCATATATGTCTCGATAAACAATATTTCTTGTACGACGATTTTCCGGATTTCGATCATCCTTGATCAAAAACTTCAATCCTTGACGGGAGGTTACTCGAGAAGCAGCAACGTATAATTGGCCGTGACTAAATACAGGTTTTGTCAAGTACACTCCAACGTTATCAAAAGTTTGGCCTTGACTCTTATTTATTGTCATAGCAAAACAAACCTTAATAGGAAACTGACGTCGAATCATCACAAAAGGCCATTTTGAATCCGTAGGAGTCATGTCAATCCTGTGAATGAAAAATCTTGTCCCTATACTTGACCCTGTAATCATTTCAGCTTCTATGATGTTATCTCCCAGATTTGTAATTATCAACCGTGTACCATTGCATAGACCCCGACTCTGATTCATATTGCGTAGCAGAATAATTGGAATTCCAACCTTTAACTCAATTGAATGATTTGGAATTCCAGAGAATTTAAGTGTATTCAAAAACTCAACCGGGTATAAAGAAGCTTGCTCAAGTCCGCAATCAGAGGTGGGACAGATTCTATCAGCACTTAAGTATATCCTAGAATGGCCAAGAATGGATGATAGAATAACAGAATTTACTTCATCAACAACATCATTGGTCGGGGCAAGAATAGCTCTATTGCGAAGATATGAAGCATTATTATAATTAGCCAATAGATCAGGATACGTACTATCAATAATGCGGTGTATGCAGTCAGTATCCTGAGGAATGAGTAGATCATCAGGAATCTCTATCCAAGTAGATTCGTCTTCATCATCAAAGGAAATAGCTGGTAATTTTCCTTCACCCAAATCTAAAATCCATTTGCTGAATTCTTCTAAACTTTCAACAGAATCTGAATGCATGTCATTACCTCGTATACGCATATTCAAAGATAATAGATATAAATGACAATGACCCCAAAGCAAAGAAGATCGATTAATTGATGAAGCAACAATTTCAGTTCTACCCCCTTTGGGTACAACAGGAAGAATTTGCCTGAAATCACCACCAAGTAACATAGTTTTGCCACCAAAAACTTTGTGCTCAGAGTCAGGATCATGAAAGCGTAAGATATCCCTAAATGTTCTATCAACCGCTTCAAAAATATTTCGATGTAACATTACAGCTTCATCCCAAATAATCAATGATGCCTTACAAATTAACTCAGCCAATTGTGATCCCTGTGATATTGCGCAAGTAGAATCACCGTCTATAATTATAGGAATTTTAAATCTCGAATGAGCTGTCCTTCCACCAGGCAGCAATAGAGAAGCTATACCAGAAGATGCTACCACCAAAACTATTTTGCCTTGTGAACGTAATCGAGCAATTATAGTTCTCCACAAATAAGTCTTTCCTGTTCCTCCACTACCATAAACAAAAAAGAGACCACCGAGACCATAATCAACAGCATGAATGACTGCATTATACACTTGTAGCTGTTGCTCATTCAACCCACTTCGTAGTTGAAAGTGTTCTTGTGCAAGAATTTCCCTATTATAATTCAATTCCTCAATAATAAACCGATTTCTGCTTCATTCCTGTTTCTTTCCCGTCTATTTCTTTTTCCTCTCATCAGACGAAAGGAAGAAGCTGCAATTCAACTGCTTTAGCAGATGGTGTCTTCTCCTTTATTCAATGTCAAATAAACTCTTTTTTTTTTGTAATTTCTTGCTCAGAATTTGCTTACCCACAGGATAATTCTACTTGGAAGGAGGAAAATGGGGAACTTTTGGTTAGATTAGGTTGTACTTCTTGGCCAAAAAATCAACAAAAATTTCCCCAAATGATGCGTGGCCTTCGGATTCATCTTATAGATAATTCTTACACGAGGGGATTTTGGGGAAAATTATCCCCCAACTACAGCCGACTTTGTAGCCATGGGGATGCTTTTCTTCTTTGCTTGACTTTTATAGATAAATTTGAGTCTTGGAGCGTGTTTGGAACCTGAGTTTTTTAGAAGTTTGTCTAAAACTTTACTGTAGTGCACTGTAGAAGTTTTTGAAAAAATTTTGTAGAAGTTTTTGTAAGGTGAAAATTTTTTTTGTAGAAGTTTTTGTAAGGTGAAAAATTTTGTAGGAGTTTTTGTAAAATTAAAAACTTTTTTGATTCCTTTTCTTTTTTTTTTCTTTCTTTTTCTCTTTCTCTTTCTCTTTCTTTTTCTTTTTCTTTCTTTCCTTTTTCTTTTCTTTTCTCTCTTCTCTTCTTCTTCCTTTTTCTTCTTCTTCGTTCTGTGTAGCCTCCCCGTTCCTTCCCAGCACCGACCCCTTCTCCCGCCACCCCTCTCCACCCTTTCCCCTTTTCCTCCCCTCTGCCTTCCCACTCCCTCCCCCGCCACCCCCCTCTGCCCCGCCACCCCCTCCTCCTGCCACTCCCCCTGCCCTTTCCCAACTTGATGACCCCCTCCCCCGCACCCCCTCTGCCGCGACCCTTCCCCTGCCCTGCCCCAGCGCGACCCCTTCCCGCCAACCTCTGCCCTTTCTCCTCCCGCCACCCCCCTCTACCATTTCCCCAGCCCGACCCAGGCACCACCCCCCGTCCTTTCCCCAGCCCTCCCCCCTCCCCCCTGCCGTTTCCCCAGCATGCGCCTTCTCCATAGCCATCAACAAGCCATGTGCATCTCCGCACGATGGGGGACGAAACGGCGGTGGTGGTGGCGGGTTGGGATGGGGGTGGAGGAAGAAAAAAAGGGAAAGAAATTTTTTTTTTGTGTTGAATTTTTTTTTTTTGTGTTATTGGTATTTTGAAGTGTGTAGGTAAAAAACTTTGAGAAGGTTTTTTGGAGTTCCTGTAGCAAAAGTTGTTAAAAAACTTGTAGGTAAAAAACTTGGCCAAAAAACTAGCTTCCAAACAGGCCCTTGGTTTTGATTGTCAAAATTCATTTTTTTCTTATTTTATTAGTTTCAGTGTAGCTGAATGTGTTCTTCTAAACTTTTAATACAAATTTAGCCCCATTTTTAAATATGATTACGACCTGTTTTGATCCTTTCGATATTACTCTAATGACTAAAATAAGTTCTTGAGTAATTTTTTTCATTCTCTAAACATTCAATGCATTGCTTTTTAGTTTTTTTTTTCTCTTCTTATTTTATGATTGACGACATAGAAAATTTGTAGGAGAGTATTGGAGGGTTTGGGTTTTATTGAATTTCCCTTCTTCAGAATTCTGTTCCTTCTACTTGAAGTTGGCTTGAAGGTAAGATTTTTTTCCCCTTTTCTAACTCTTAAGAAATTTAGCGAATGACTTCTTTTTATGGGGACAACCATTCTACTAAAAGCAATTTGTGTTCTTTGTTCTTTGTTTTACAGATGGCTAGCTGCCATGGAAGCAATCATTCTACTGAAAGCCATTTTTATATTTTCTTCTCCGTTGTACAAATGTTCCTTTTCTTTCATGTAAAAAATACTATATCACAGGCAGAAGGTGAATAAATGTAATCCCCAGAAACTGGTATCTTCATTGTAAAGGTGTATGAATTTTATACTTTTTAAATGAAAAGGATATTATGTAATTTCATTTAAGAAGTAAGGTTCTACCTTTGCTTCTTTATTCTTACTCTTATTGATTAAACATTTACAAATGCAACGTAGTATAGGATCTTTTGATCATTTATAGATGCAACATAGACTACATAGTATAGGATATTTTGATTTTCATTGGAGAGATTCTACTGCTAGAAAGCAATAATTTACGTGCTTAATATTTTCCACATCTTGCCAGTAAATGTATTTGGCACGCTATGTTAACAACTAGATGACCAATGATGCAAGCAATCCGCAAAAGTTTTTCAATTATACCACAATAATTTACGTGCTTAATATTTTCCACATCTTGCCAGTAAATGTATTTGGCACGCTATGTTAACAACTAGATGACCAATGATGCAAGCAATCCGCAAAAGTTTTTCAATTATACCACAAAATCACTGAACTTAATAAAATTTTCTACAAGAATCTCTAATATCGGATTTCTTTTCAGCTAAAACTTTAATCCTCTAGCCTAAAAATGCCTTAAAAAATTTTTAAACTTAAAAAGAAAAAAGAACAGCAAATAACAACAGTATTTAGGTTGGTATTTCAATTACTAAAAATAAAAAAATAATGTTCATACCTAATATTGTTAGAATCAACATTTCTTCAATTTTAATATGTGGGCGTGAGATTTGGTAAACACCTTATTACATTATATACATCTACATAAGAATTGTCACTACTTACAATTTAGGTGCTCTGAATTATATTTTCTACACAATAGGTTGGGATTTGGTTGTGCTATTGGATTTAGATGAATGATTATTTAGTCTGATGAGAATTTTGAACCTTTTCAAATGGGTAATTTATTTCTAATTTAGAATAAGAATTAGATACAATTGTGCCCAAGTTTAAAAATAAGAATGGCAAGGAATTTTTCAATATTTGTTACACAATAGATTGGGCATTGGCATAGCCAGAACCATCCTAGTAATTTATTAAAAGGTTATCACCGCGCGATAGCGCTGTGCGAATTTGTAAAATGTATATATCAAGTTTTGCCCAGTACATAAATTTTTTGTTTGGAGAAAAAAAAAAAAGAGAGGAAAAAATAAAGAGATGTATGAGAATACAAAAAAAAAAAAAAAGGGTGACAAGAAACATTTGTTCTTGAAATATTCATGAATAATTACGTCTTGATATAAGTAATGAAATTTAGCAGTTGAAAATTTTATTAGCTTTTTGAGGGTTTGTTTGGATTGTAGTTTATTTACCAAAATATATTTGCTTACATCATCATTACAATTTCCAACACACCTTTTTATCTTCCCAATTATCTTTTTATCTCACATACATCACATCACAAAAAGTGCTACAGTAAAAATATCTCTAATAATTCACAATCCAAACAAACCCTTGATTATAGTTTCATTTATGAGTTTCAAACCTTCTCTACATAGTAGTAGCGGATAAGGAACCACTTGAATTACTCGTTGAAATTGTAATATAAAATTTGGAAGAAATAAAGAAGGATATTTTTTATGAGAAGATATGAAGCATTTATGGTGCATGTTGATTCTCAACCTAACTGTCATGGCTACCGACGTCAGAGCATTTGTGGACTTTTTTGGCTGCATATTGGGCAACCTTGATCTCTTTAATGTCCTTTGATACCTTGGGAATTTGGCTAATTCGAAGAGTAGCACTGCCTCTTTTTGATCTTTTACGTGACAGACAAAATGGCAGAACCAAAACAATAAGGGTAAAATACACTAAATCTCCCTTGGTTTGGATTATTATCATAAAATCTCCTCATTATTTAAAAACACACATTGAACCTCCTTACACTGTAAACTAATCTGGAATTTGGATGAAAAACATCCAAATTAACGGAGAGTGAGTCACACTCACTTAATACGTGAGTAAAATTGATCATGTTGCTTTTTCTACATAAAAAACTGATTTCTTCTTCCAATTATACCCTCCTTCTTTTATTTCTTTTTTTTTCACTTTCTTTTGCTTTCCTTCTCCCAAAATCAAAAGGTTGCTTTTTATTCTTTTTTCTTTTCTTTTGTTTCATCTCCTTCCTTCTCTCGCAATCAAAACAGAGATAGCAGATGCACCAAAACACCAACTCCCCTCACAACCATGACTACTGCGACCACTCTTTCTTCTTCTTATATTTATCTTCTGTTGCAGCACCAGGGGATTCTTAAGAAAGTTCATGTCAAACATTGGCTTCTTCTCCAATAGAATTCTCCTTACGGCAACACCTTTAATCTCTTAAGTAATTGCCTTTAACCCATTCTTTAGTAACCAGATTTGATGCCATCACCATTGCTATCATGGTCACCAACTAATACGTAAGGCGGGCAGAAATCCAGATGGATTTGAGATATGAATCAAGGCAGCCTCACAATTTTTCTTTTAATCCATGCAAATATCTGACTTTTTGTGTGTAATTGGTGTCACATAACCATTTTACTGGTCCAAAGGATTGTTTTTATATAGTAATTTGTTTGTTTGACTTTGTGTTTTGACTGAAATTTATAGTTTTGCCTATCACTGTTCGTGCCTATATTTGTTACTCTTTGCTTGTTTTTGGTCAAATATGATATCATAATCATGATCTACGCTAAAATTGGATTTGAGGGTGTAATTTTTGTTAAATTCCACACTGGTGGTAGCTACTGCCGGCGCTGCTCCTACTGTCGCTGCCGCAAGATCTGTAAATGATAATAATAGGCAGGGAAGAAGAGAAACTTTGAAAATTTTCACCTTGACTCGTAAAGTCTGTTTGTAAACCCATAAAGATGATGATGGCTGTGGCAGCAGCGGTAGAAAAATAATGAAAGCTGCTTTATTGCCGAAGAAGATGAAGAATGTTTTGAAATTTTAGTTTGGCCCCTTAATTTTTTCCTTCGACAATTCAAGATTCATGAATTTAGATGAAATCTGAGACCCAATGATGCTGAAGATGATGATGAAGATAATGACCACGACAATCATAGTAACGGCGACGATGGCAACGATGACAATTGCTGGACTGAAGAAAGGAAGAAAAGGAGAAGAAAATGGAAGGGAAAGGAAAACAAAAAAAGAAAAAAAAAAGAACAAAAAAAAAGGAGATGGGTTCTGAAATCTGAACATCGTCCGGTTGGAGAAGACAACAAATTTTTAGAAATTGTTGAATTAACCCTTGAATTTTACTTTTTTGTTAAATGAAGCAAGAAAGTTTTTAAAATCTTAAGTAAAACCCGAACTAACTTTTGGTATAGTTTGAAAACAAGGTTAATATAGAAATTTTATATTATTTCGTCAAATTGGATGATTTTCGTTCGTTGGCCAAATTAGTCCAAACCATGAGGGGGCTCTTTGGGAGTTTTTAAACAATGAGAAGGTTCTATGACAATAACCCAAACCACAAGGAGGTTTAGTGTATTTTACCCAAACAATAAACACCAGGAACAAGCCCACAAAGATAGCTATTAAAACCCATACCTTCAGGTATAAGATGTGAGTTTTCTTTGATAGTTCAAAGTTAAGCTTCGTGTGGTTGGCGAGTTATGCACGAGGCGGGGTTTATCCAGTGCGGTAGTGACTGCGAGTTTTCAGGGGGAGTCTTGTCAATTTCACTAACAATCAAGATTTGCATTTGCATCACAAACATACCTGCCCTCTTCCAAATAGACATCTAAATCTAATTTTTCAGGGGGAGCCTTGTCAATTTCACTAACAATCAAGATTTGCATTTGCATCACAAACATACCTGCCCTCTTCCAAATAGACATCTAAATCTAATTTTTCAGGAGGAGCCTTGTCAATTTCACTAACAATCATTTGAAATTTTTCTTTCCCAGTTAGAACATTAACTCCAAGCTTCTTAGCAGCCCCTTGGGTAGATTTACTTGAAATTTCTGCATGTTTTCGTTTTCTAGCTTCCCTTTGTGGTTCCTCACTATGAGATGAGATGTGAGCATCCACATATTCATTATAGAGGTCATAAATAATGCATCTAATCTCATCAATGTACCTAGGGACTGCATCTTCTCCATAAATAACTGGGAAAGTATGATTAACAAGGACCATTTTGTACCTCGGATCAAGAATAGCACCCAAAGACATC